GCACATGAACGATAATTTTGTTGTTTGTCTTTTCTCAAGATTAGTCCATTACATATATCCCTCGGCCCATATTTTTATGATTTTACTTTATACAAATTGTTCGTCAATGCTTGAACAAAACTGAAAGCACACCCTTCTTACGTCTACAAGGACGAATATTGTCACCGAAGCTTCAACCTGTCAAATCTATAATTAGTTTCCCTTTGACCTGAAATAATAATAATAAGCACTATCTTTGCAAAGTAATGCGTTATTCTATTAGTTGTGTACTTTTTTTTATTAAAAAGATTGTTTCGAAGTATATAAACGAATATTTTATTTGTCTGAGTACAATAGCTGGATGTTCAAATGATAATGATATTTAGCATACAGTATTTGATAGTCAGTTTAAATACGTAAATAGAGACATGATCCTCATGGTTGGCCCATATCAAGAACAATAGTAATGCTCTGTCTTTTGTTTTAGACATTGCCTGATAGCCATTTAAAGGCGGACGGTTCACATGCCTGTAGTGCTACCGTCTAGTCAGGCACACACTGGTATTGGTATCTTATTTCAATTCTCATTAATCTTGGCTGATCTTGGTACTTCTACACCACCTGTTCGCTAGGAACAATAGTATCTGGAACCAGAAAGTTTGAAGTCAACAATGGACGAACCGTTACAGGTGAATGATCTCGTGGGTCTTTCGTCCTCTTCCTCAAGTGGGAGTTACTGCACGAGTGAAGCCAGTATCGACAATAAGTTGTTGGTGGAAAGCGGGTGCCAGGCTGGAAGAAGTTTTGTTGACAACATCAGCAATAAGGAAGCAGATCTGCACGCGCAACGTATTGTGTCTCAAGACGATTGTTCAACAACAACAACTGTCCTAAGCACGATGTCGAGGCATGCTTTGTCTACAGATAGACCTAACTCTCCACTGGTAGAATCGGTCGTCAGGAAAGACGGCGCGCCAGAAAAACTGACACGGACACAAAAGGACGGACAAAATACTAAAGATAGAGAAATGGATTATGTAAATAAAGATACAGAAAGTGAAAAAGAAATGGAGTCGATAGCAGCGAGTTTCCTACAGGCTAACGATACTTCCGATTTACGTCTAGTTTGTGAGGGTAAACCGCTGTACGTTTCACGGATTGTGCTGTCCATAGTTTCTCCCGTCCTAAAACAGATGTTTGACAGTCGTTCCCGAGAACAGAGTGTCATAGAAATACCATTACCAGGTAAATCGTACGGAGACATCTTAGAATTTCTCTGCTGTGTCTATCCGGATAAATTGAAACCAGTGACGGGTGAGTGACGTCATAGCATTTTAATAATGTTCATGTAACTTGTGCCCAATCCTCTTGCATTTTTT